GTTATTTTGCTGCAGCCGTACTCCGGCAGGAATGTCTCTTTTCATTCCCATCACCATCAGCCTATGGAACTCCATTCATCTTTCAAGATATCAAGATATATAGAAAAAGTTTTAAGGTGAGAAATTCTTTCCTTATCCTTTAATTTGGAAGTGATTTTTCAGAGGTGTGTGTGTGTTTTACCAGGGGTTGAACGCCCAGTGCTGCTCTAACACTGAGCTAATCCCCAGCCCTTTTTATTTTATTTTTTGATTTTAAGACAGTCTTGCTTAGTTGCCTAGGTTAACCTGGGACTTGTGATCCTTCTACCTCAGCTTCCCAAGTCACTGGAATTAAAGGCATGCGTTACTATGCCTGGTGACATTTGTCTTCTTTACACACTATTTGCACTTTTGTCTTGTGATATATCACATTTTTAGTATTTATTTGCGCGCGCGTGTGTGTGTACGTGTGTATACAGTAAAGTGCTTGAAGATCTAGGAGGGCAAAGTTTACATTTCATTTGTTTAATGTTTCATGGCATAGTTACCAACCATGAGACCGTAAAGGTGCTATAACTGATTGCTGCTACTTGTTCATTGGTTGTCTGTTGAAGGACTGTGTCCTACCAGAATGTTGACATCATATGAGTAGACCTTGCTTATCTTTTTCATCACTCTGACCCACTTTCTAGAACATCCTAGGTGCTCAGTTAAAATTTGCTAAGTGAATTAATGATTAAGAAAATAAATGAAATTACAAACCTGTAGTTTCAGGAGATAACCTTTCCTTCATGCACTAAAGTCACTTTGGTGGTGAATAATAATGCTGATACAGAAGATTTCCAAATTATCTGCAAGATAGCATTTTTATATTGTATCCATTTCCTAAAAGTTAGGAAACAGCATGTAAATTCAAAACCACCAGTTCTTCAAATATGAATGTTACTTGATGTATAAGAAGGTATAGCATTCTTCAACATTCATCATTATAAAATAATAGACTTTTTAAAGTTTTTGTACTGATACTGAAGTTCAGGGTCCTGGACAACTTTCTAATTATCTACTAATGTTTCCCATGGCCTGATAAATTCTAAGAGGGTGACTATTAATATGCTCCATTATTATTCTTAAGGATAAGACATAATAGACAAGAATTTTCTAGGCAATTATTCTCCGGTGTGGCTAAAAGTTACCTCTCAGATAAAGGAATCATTTATTCATGTAAGAAAAACACCATTTACTGAAAAATGTGTGCTGAAATTTTATCATGACTTAAAACATAAAAAGACATCTTCAGTATACAAATACACCTATTATACACAAGAGATCAGGCTTTACAGATGACAAAGGGAAAAGCTTTCTGAGCAGCCATTTGTAATAACAGCTCAGGAAAAGCCAAAGTTTCTACTTCACATTTCCCCTTTATTGCTTGCTCATTTTCTTTGACTTGCTAAATTCACATTTAAATCATATCCATATGTTCTCAGTTTAAACCATATTTCTAACATCACCCATTTCCCACCTAGAAAAATGACTCCATGCCAGCTTTGATGCCTCCTTTTATGCTCATGTTTGACAGAGGGTACACACGTAGAATGTGTGTGAAGCAGAGAAAGCTTTAAAATGGCGAGGCGCATTTCACAGTTACTTCCCGTTGGCAGGTGGCAAATGACGGAGATCTCAGGCACTAATCTCAGACAGACATAAGCTTGAATCCTGGCTCAGACAACTCTAGCTATGTGCAGAGTTTTTATTTAACTCCCATCTATAAAATCGGGGATAACTGTAGTACTGATTTCATAGGGCGGTGGGGAGGGGGATGGTAGGAGATGTTGTATACAGAGCCAAAGACAACTCACATGATACAAAGGGTGCTGGGCACGTTTAAGCACCCCACTCAATGTTCAAAACAGCTTTACAAGATCAGGGCTATTATTATCTCCATTCTCAAATGAAAGAACAGGCATAGAATATTAAGACCTTGTGAGATTTTGGTATGGATGGAATACTTGTATGCATTACTTGAGTAAAAATCTACAGATAATGAACACTACATTGACCCTAGAACTAGGCTGAATACATGATTTTCTAAATTAACCTTCACATCGTCCCTCTGCAACATTACCCTCACCCCCACTTTGCAATGAGGAAATCGAGGTTTGAAGAACTCAAGTTTTATGTCTAAAAGTTCTTGTGCTAGACAGCAGAAAAAGCCACTATACCAACCCAGGTGGTCTGATTTCAAGGAATGAAGAATAACTTATGCAACTGCATAGCAACTCTATCCATTCACCTCAGATCTATATTATTAAATTAGTAAAAGAGAATTGGGTTTGACATAGAGGCAGGTTGTGGAATCAAAAGGAAAAGAGCATCCAGAGTGAATTCAATTCAATTTAGTATGCATATATTAATCTTCTAAATAATATTGTTTCAAGCATTTGGGTAATACCAATAATAATACGTCACTGCAAGATGCCATCATTTGTAAACCTGTATGAGTATTTTATTTACAACTAAATAAAAGAGCCCTCAATATGGGGGTGTAATAAGACACCCCCCTATTACATTAAGACAGATAACAGATAAGCTGAAAAAAAATCAAAGGAAGGTTCACTCTCTCTTGGCAGTGGCTGATGGCGGGAAAACAAAATTCACCTGAAACTTTGATGTCAGTACTCAATCTTCCATGTGTTCAGAATATACACTACAAATTTAATTTAAAATGATTTCACATTGGTAGTTTCTGAGAGAAAAAGAAAATGCAACTACTTTCAACTAATGTTCACTGTAATGGGAGACTATAATAATTTTGAATTGTCATTGGTTGTAAAATGCATTCTGATTTCACAGATCTTAAAATGTGAAAATATGCAACTTGGAATGGATGAAAGATGTTATGAGATGATGAGACTTTTTGCCTTAAGAGTGTGGAAACATTTGAGGTCAGGTGATTAACAAGATAGAACAAACTGCAACACAAGTTATTATATCAAAGTGTAAAATGAGTGCGGCAGATGTGGGAAGACATGAGAATTCAAAATTAAACAAATTCTGGGAAGAACAGTGAGGTGGGAAGTCTTTGTGTGAAGGTGGGATTTCATCTGGACCTTGATACTGTGGGTTGGAATGGGGGAGGGGAGGAGGGAAGCTGTAGCAAATAAGGTGTGAAGTCAGAATTAATATTCTTAGGTTGAAAGAAATGAGGTAACTATCCAGATGATGAGCTTGGATTGGGTAGTAATGGCAGGTAAGTTCAGAAAGTCCTGTTAAGAATACAAAATAGGGGCCGGGGTTGTGGCTCAGTTGTAGAGTGCTCACCTAGCATGCTTGAGGCACTGGGTTCCCGCCTCAGCACCACATAAATGTAAAATAAAAGATATTGTGTCCACCTAAAACTAAAAGATAAATATTAAAAAAAATTAAAAACTACAAAATAGATGGTCCTGAGGAATGGAATTCCCCTAAGGAATTAAGAATGGAAATATTTTATTCAATTCATGCATTTGTTCAGTGAGTACCTGACCAAACAATTGCTCAATCAACAAGCATTACGCAGCTGTTACATGTCAGACACGTATAGCTTATTTGGGTTAAAGTGATGAATGATTACAGTATTTTGTACTCTAAATTAGACTTTAGTGGAACAGAAAAAAAATTGGGATAATATCACAATATGTCTTCATAATTCCTGCAATTTACTGAGCAATTATGATTTTCCTAGGTACTAGTTAGGTAATTTATGTTATATCTTTTGTTTCTTCTTCTTTTTTATATTATCTGTTGTATTTCAAAACAGAAGTATATTTATTTTAGAGATCATAAACCTTAGACTAAGAAACATGGAGACTTTTCTGGACCTCTTAACACCTCCCTAAAAATGAACCCTATTACTTATGATATAGCCTTGATTAAAAAGTTATGCAAAGCCACAATCATAAAATAATGAAAATCCTGGGAAAAGAATTTGTAATTTCTTTAAAATAACCAAGAAAGTTGTATTTTGTTACTAAGAAAAATACATTGAGTAATGAACTTTGAAGTCAATTAATACACTGCTACTCTGAGGTAAAATGTTACAAAGTTATACTGGAAACTTAGCTAAGGCATGGCAAACCAGTAATGTAAGGGAGTCTTCATAGAAAACTACTAATATGTTAACATTAATGTCAATATCAGTAGTTACATTATGGTAGAGTCATGTAGTCATACATGGGAAGAAGAAGTGCTATTGTTTGGGTGAGTGTCCCCTAAAGGCTCTTGTGTTGAAGGCTTTGTGGCCAGCCTGTGGTGCTATTGGGAGATGGTGGAACCATTAAGGCATGGGACCAAGTGGGAAGGAGGAAGGCCACTGGGCACGTACCCTTGAAAGATATCTTGGAAACCCAATCCCTTTCTGCCTCTTTTCTTCCCAACCAGTGAACATATTTTCTCTACCACACACTCTGCCATCACTGCCTTGCACAGGTCCAAAGGCAACAAGGACTGAAATCTCCAAAACTGTGAGTCAAAACAAACCTTTGCTCTTTTTAAGTTGATTACCTCAGATATGTTGCTATAGTAGTGGAACACTGACTAACCACAATTTTACCTTAAGTTTAGCGAAAGCTAAAGCTGTGGTGTGAATCTCAAAGTCCTCCCACTACTACCACTGAAGACAGAAATGTTTCTTTCCTTTTGGCACAAGGACTGTCACATCTCAGCTGCATCTCTTTCTAGGGCTATCTTTCCAAGAAAAGAGTTATGACCCAAGATTATATCTACTTTCTAGGTGCAGACCATATGCAACAACAGTTCATGAGAGCTATGAAGACATATTACCCATATCCCCATTCATATCAACTCTGAAGTATCATCTTTTGTGTAGAATGACTGAATTCATTTTAGATTCTTCATAGTAGAATAATGCCCATCCAAATATATCTATGGCCTAATCCCCTGAACCTGTGAATATATAAAGTTAAATGGAAAAAGGGAATTGCATATGGAGTAGGATTGCTGATCAGCTATCTTCAAGATGGAGATGTAATTGTGGATTGCCTGGAAGAAACTAATAATAAGCACAAGATCCCCTAAAGGTAAAAAAAAAAGGAAACAGGAGATGAAGTGACAAACTCTGAGACAGACTTGATGCATCATTACTGGCTTCAAAGATGGAAGAATGGGACAAGAACCAAGGAATGTGGGCTATCTCTAGAAGCTGGAAAAGAAAGAAAATGGACTTTCTTTGGGGATTTCTAGAGGGAAACTCATTTTGGAAGACACCTTGATTTCAATTAGGTGAGACCAGTGTTGGAATTTTAATCCATAGCACTGTAAAATGATGAATGTGTGTGTTGTTTTGTGGGGTGTTTTTGGCCATATTGTTCGTGGTAATTTGCTACGACAGCAAATTATCTCTCTTTGACCATGTTGGCTTCCTTCTTTCCCACAGGGATGTTGATTCTGAATGTATTTCCTAGTCAACTTCATGCAATGAATCTCCATCTCAAAGTTCTTGTTCACGTGGCACGTGACCTATAATAACATTGCCAAACATTTGTCTCCTTAATATGTTTCCACTTGTAATACAGATCTCCTGTTCACCTAATCATGAGTGGCACTTCTGAGACAATTATATCAGCTGAAAAACACAAGAGAGTTGAAGTTTTGTTTGCAAATTTGCAGTCTGAATAGAGCATGTCAGGCTATGAGGGACCATGGTCAAGAGTGTGACTGTAATGCATTGTGAGTCAGGTGAATCACAGGCTGCTATGCTTTGAATGTTTGTGTTCCTTCCAAAATTCATGTTGAAACTTAAAACTCAATGTTTTGTCATCATTAAGAAGTGGGGCTCTTAGGAGGTGATTAAGTCATGAGTCTCTGCCCTCATGGATGGGGGTATTAACCTTGGCTAAGGGCTGAAAGTAACTAGATAGACCCCCTTTGCCCTCTGTCCCTTTTGTCATGTGAGGACATAGCACTTAAGATGCCATCTTGGAATCAGGAACCAGGTCTTTACCACAAAGCAAATCTGCCAGCACCTTGATCTTAGGTTTACCAGCCTTCAGAAATGTTAACAATAAATTTCTGTTATTTATAAATTACTCAGATCAGACAATCGTATTTTGTCATAGAATTAGAAAAGGGCTAAGACAGAGACCTAGATCAATCAGGGTAGCCCAGGCAAACACTATAGGTCATGTCAGCGAGGGAGTCTTTGAGAAGAATCTCTGAGCCATGTTTAGGAATCTAGCCCAGCATACTGGAAGACAGAGAATCCAGAACCAGAGGGCCCAGTCATCGGTCATCGAGATTCCTGAGCCTTTTCCCATTCTGATGCAGATAGCATGAGCCTCCTCTCCTACTTGAAAAGCTTTTTCAGAGCATAATTTCCAAATAACAGCAGGAAAATGTGTTTTTTTTTTTTTTTGTGTGTGTGTGTGTGGGGGGGGGGTGTTTTAAAGCAAATAAAGCTATTAGGGAAGGCAAAAGGAATAATAATTTCAAGCAATTTCTCATTTCTAATTGAAAAACAAAACCAAAATAATGAGGCCCAGATGCATGATTGAATGTCATCATGTAAGTAAAGGAAAAGCAAAATGTGTTCCTCATTACCACCTGTCAATGCAACATACAGTGTGCAAGGATAGAGGGGATAAAAGCTCCTATTACTGTCACTGGGGCTGCACCTGGGACCTGAGAGACACAGCAAATGCATTAGGTACAAAATGTGTTCATTTGAGCTTTTTTTCTTAAGATGTCATGAAGCCTTTTCACATGAGTCAGTATATGAAGCACACAGCCTGCTGCAGTATCTTGAACAGAATCACTCTGTTGCCAAATGGACCATGGTGATAACCTAACTACCTTGATCCATGTTGTGAATTGATCTGAAGATTCAAATTATCCCAGCTCCTGAGAGTGCAATAGTGACTGTGACATTTGCTCAAGGAGGTCCAGAGTGAGGGATTTCTGATTCATACAGAGATTTTCTTCTTCACGATCCCTAATTACAGCATTTCTCATTCTTTGTTCTATTGTACTGATGCTATCTAGTAGACTCAGAGTTATGGTTCAAATATTTATTATTATTATTATATTATTATTATGTGTATGTGTGTGTGTGTATGTGTGTGTATGAGAGAGAGAGAGAGAGAGAGAGAGAGAGAGAGAGAGAGAGAGAGACTTTTTAATTGAACTCTGAGCATTGTGAAGTTTGCATTGTTAGGTACCGGATTTTGTTTTTCTCTTTTAGACAAATTGAGCATTGATCTTTTTTTGCAGTTCTTTGTAACCATTTAGTCTCTTGAAAGCCATTTATGAGCATTGTTAGGGCCAATCCAGAGGTATTTGGGGGGATAATTTTGCTTCCCTATTAAAATAATTCTCTACTAAGGACTCTTTCAAATATTTCTTTATTTTGAAATCTTTGTACTCTGACTGGTTGGAAAACAACGATTCCCAGCCCTGTGTGAGCTCTGACAATTTTTTTTTTTTTTTGCTTTCTGTTGGTTCTTAGCTTCACAGGACCAAAGCCAACATGGAACAGTACACCTCTGGAGGTCTTTTTGTCTTTCTGTCTGTCTGTCTGTCTCTCTCTCTCTCTCTGGTTCTCACTCCTATTCTGATCTCTATGCTCACCTCTCCCTGTAGCTACCTCCCTTACTCTATTCTATTCTAGTTGCCCTGGACTCTCTGAACTCCCATCTCTTGTCTTTGAACTAATGGAGAATTCTGCTGTCTGCTTCAGTTCCACAGCTCTGCCCTGTGGCCTAGGAGCAGCTTCTGGGAAGTAAACTTCAGGGGAAATTAGAGTGCTGGTCTCATTTGTTTCACCACTAAGGCCACATCCCTCACCATTACTCCATAACCATCATTTAATAAGCTGTCTTGATCATAGGTGTTTCAGCTTTCCCCCCCCACTGGCTTGTTTTACCATCATGGTGTATCTTTTTTTTTCGTCTAAATTATGTTAACAGAGGTAACAAAAGAAATGCTTACTATGATGAATGAATACAGTTGACATAATTAAGAATTTTAATTTTCCTCAGCTATCAAGACTTTGACACTTTAATAATTTTGGAAGTAGTGGGAGAACACATAGCCAATTTTACTATGTCCTCCTAGCTCTTACCTGAAGAAAGGAGGTTGATGTTCGAATTATGACTACATGGTGTTGAACCTTATTTCTATTACTACTTAAATGTTTGACCTTGAACAAGCTGCAGGGATCTCTGATGGTAAGTGCCTTCTACTTTAAATAATAATACTTTTGACCTCACTTCTACTTATGCAAGACAATGTAGGTCAAATGCCTCACTCTACACCAGTTGTCCTTAATCAGCTAGTTACCATCTTTTAAAGAATTAAGCAGAAAATGTTAGTGATAAAGTCTGTTGCATGGTATATAGGAGAAGCAGTAAGATTATACTCAATTAGATTGGGTCTGATACATAATAGGGAAAGGAAAAATAACTATTTTTTCATGAATACAAAGCTCCAGTGCCATAAGATTAGATTGAGGATATCTATTTAAAGACAGAATGAGTCATTCAAAAAAAGAATATTTTCAACCACAAAGCAGAGATACTGTGCCAGAATTGAGCATCACCCATCTGATCCTTGTTCCAGAAAGAAGATAGCCAGATTGAGATGAGCTAGGCATGTGACTTTAGCAACCAGATGGTACTAAATACTTAAATCATAAAACTAGTTACCCTGTTCTAGTTCCACACGTAAGAAGCAACATTTGAATGATAATTGGGCTATTCCTGTAGCTTGTGTATGTGTGTGGGGGGCGGGGTATGTGTTCACAGGGGTGAAGTACTTGGCCTGCTTGACTGCTAACCTTTCTGGTTTTTTAAATAAATTGGATTTTTGAGTAATCCATTAATGTTAAATGAGCAAAGTTAGCATGGATCTTGCTCTAATAGCTCTGGAGTACTCAGAATATAAAAACCATGAGTCATTATGGGAAAGAAACTAGAATAAGCAAGTTCAATGCAAGCTAATAGCTCCAGATAATGATCTATTCTTGAGCATGCAACTCATTCTAGTCAATACTTTATGGCTCCGAGTGGAGGGAAACAGATAGATATAAATGGAGTTTCATTAATAAAATAGAGTTTAGAAGATAATATCCAAGTGTTATAATTGAAAGAAGTAAGAAGAAAAGAGAAAAGAGAATTTGACGACAGAAGTTAAAATTTCAATTCTTATCCTAAAATAACTTTATTGTTCAGTTATCCTTATCAGATATAACAAAGTTAATTTGTTTTGCATTTTAGATTTTGCAAAGCAGAATATTGGGATCTAGGTAGAAAACACCTACAAATGATCCTTAGCAGAGATGAAAAAGGAGAAGAGATAGGTTTGTGTTGTATGGCTCATAACTCTGAATTTGATGGCCTTTATATTGATTACAACTCTAGAAATATTAAGAATAGTTATGTTCTTGCCATATCGAGCTTCTACCAATCTACTCCATTATGAAGTACAGTTTGGTTGGTTCTAATCACAAGCCCTGATTACTAAGGTGATGGCTAGTGAAGACCAACCTTATATGAAATACCAAATTGTCATTCTTATTCCATATGTTGTCACAAATAGCAGCATAATGGAGGATAACTGGATCTTTGGTGCTTATGAGTGAAGCTTCCTCTTCACCCTCTCTCTTTACAATAACTCCTGATTTTCTTTTGGAGATTCATGTGCATCTGGGAAGGCTGGGTTCATCTATCATTTTTGCATGGGTGGAACAACTGATGTAAGACTTGCATGCAGTTTATCTCATTACTTTGGCTAAATTGTTTGTTCTACTTGGAACTGTGATTTAATCCTGTTCAATAGGAGGGGGCACCCATATTTTGCTTAGAACTGTGGGACATGGGCCCATAACCCTCATCCTAGTGATACAGGATACAGATGCAAGAGTGCTAGGACTGTTGAATCAACTTTGGTAACAACAATAAAAAGAACAACAACAGCTAGGTTTAATCCCCAGCACCACAAAAACAAACAAACAAAACAACAACAACAAAACAGAGAAACAAACTAGAAAGAGATAAAACTCCAGTGATAAAATCTTAGGGATCAAGTCTTGTCTAGTGGTGGACTTATCTTTGTTCCTCTTGTTATATAAGTTAATTTGTTTTTATTTATTGTTCAGTTTAGGTAACTTGATTTTTTGATGTTGTCTCTGACATAAGGTATTAATGACAGTACAAAAATATACCATACAGTTTCATTGTGAATCAAGATTTATTTTATCTAATTTTTAAATAAAATCATTCAAAAATGTATAGAAAATTTTGAGCCCATACTAATCTTTAAAATCATAATTTTACTGAAAAATACTTTTAGAAAACATTCTAACAGTTTGACCATTCTTCTAATCAGAAGTGTTAACTTATCTGTCAACATCAAGTCAATTAAATCTTGTTATTAAAATTTCAGTCTTGCGGAGTTTAATCTTCAACCACTTTAAAGAGCACATACTATGCTCTTAGGCATAAATTGATTCAATAAAAGTACAAAGGCTCTCAAAAACCTGAAAAAATCAAAATCAAAAACAATTCTATCAAGGAATGTGGGATAAGAGGAAATCTTGCATTTGGTCGTATTCTGGTTAAATTCTCTCTGAATTTCTCAT